TGACATTCCTGTCAGAGCACACTGTCTAGTGCCAGCCTAACATGCGTCAGTTCTGATCCTGTCCATTAGGACCAAATGCCATCCCCAGAAGCAGCCTTTTAGTGTTGCTGTGAACACTGGAGAGGTATGCAAATGGACTGGCTACGGATGACTGTACTAACTACGAAGTGTACATTTGCATCCCGTTACATTTACAAAGTATGCACTATGCATTCTACAAGCACAGATGAGCTCGAGACGACTGATGAGGGCTGCTTTTGATATGACATTCGTGAAATGATGAATCTAAGCCCACATAACTATTTTGTTTTAATTTGACAACTAGCGAGCGACAATACAGAAGGTTGCATAATGAGACGTTAAAAAATTATCGAGCTTTTTGTGCATGCCATCATACACAAAAAGAGACATTATTCATGCAGCGGAGCACGGACGTAAGCACTAAGCAGCTCCGTTTAGCTCTGAAGCACAGCTACGTATGATAGCGAGATGGTGGGGCGGAGACTTCAATCCGGAGTTGGTGTCTATCCCCGGATCGGGTGACGCGCTGCAGCGAAGGCGGGAGACTTCTTCAGTTTGTTTCCCGCCCGATAACGCGACAGACTGGGTGCAATGTCTCAGAGGCTGCCAAGCCTGGTCTTGTTTGCTATTGAGCCAGCAGAAACTGCACCGACGCTTCGCACAGCCTTCGTCGTGTTTTGCCACGAGTCATGATGTTGATGAAGCTACCATGCACATATCCGGTAGACATCCAACAACATATTAGCATAATGTCACCGGGGCGATCTTGTGCTCAGATATGCAAGCTATTAACTTTGCAAACCTCATCTTGCTTTCTCCTATCCGCCTGTTCGACTGACCCAGAGTTTTGATCCAGATGTTGAATTTCTTTACAGGAATGGCCGGTTTGGTCACAGGGTGTGAATTCTCTGCATGAATCTGAGTCTTGGGCTGCATTCAGAGGAGCGTGCTCGTGTCAATAATTACAGGCCCAGCCCGCCACAGTGTTGGCAACTGGTTCTGTATCGGAGCCTCGCCATACCCCGGAATGTTTCGCGACCCGACCCGGAAAGCCGGAGTGCTGGCAAACTTTCCGCGCCGTCACTGTCTCACGGATGAACCGGCGGAAGCCGAGACCGGCTCGGGTCAGGAGAGCCACAGCAATTTTTAGCAGCTACAGCACGACGACAGTCGGGGGAGTGATCGCATTTCCTGCAGTCCGAGATTGACCTGGGATGGTGGATATGTGACATATAACTTTGGGAAGATAGACAGTGAATATGACTTTGATCGAGGTTCAGCACCACATCAAAGCCGCTGCTGCTTGAGACTTCACAAGCCCGTTGCCTGCCGACGACGGTCGATAGGATCGGCCGACCGCTCTGACGCCGTTTACTCCGAGGCATGGTTGCTGCTTCAGCTGAATTGTTGCAGCGCCGCCTTAGGTGTCAGCTTCAATGGCCACCATCCAGGCAATTTTCTATTTGGAGCCACCGACGGACACGGGCTATTCCACTGTCTATATTCTCCAGTCGCGGGTCCGACTCTTCTTGCTCCTATCACGTCGCCCTTCCTTCAGCCATTCTACAGTCTACCGGGGAACTGCGCGCGGCGCGCCCCGTCGGCGCCTCGGCTCGGCTCGTTTTACAGCCGGCGCCGTACCATGGCGCTTCACAGAGCGACTATTTATGGCCGCAATAACCGGCGGGCCGGGGACCGCCCGCGGCCGGCGCAGTAACATTGTGGGACGACGAGGACGGCTCCATAACCACACTACCATGCAGCAAATAAACCCCGAAACAAGCCGCGTCGGTAAACCAAATTGCCATGAGCAGATCTAATGAGCGTCGAGTCACGGAGGTTTGTCTTTTTGTCCCATCTTGTTCTTCAGCTGCGCCGCCCAGAAGGAAGTGCAGCAGGGGCAACGAACTCACAAAGCCCGGCCATCAACTCTGTGCGTGGTTCGAAGAAGAACACGGGAAGATTGAGAGGCCATTTCGAAAAACGACGCAGGAGTAATCTTATGAAATCATGTGTTGTTCAGAACTGTGAAGTGTGAAACCTGTATTTTCGTATAATCGTCTATGGATAGAGATTTTGGGAAGAAAGATGTTTACAACTGTGTATGCTGTCCAATGTGACAATGGCAAGTGGTTAGAGTGGACTTACTGTCAGTGGGCTATAGCTTCGGAATCACAATCAGGGCACCTATGCAGTACCCACCCTCCAAAGCAAACCAGTTGCTGAGCCAGCAGCCAAAACGGGAAACGTTTCTCACGGCACACTTGCACGTCCGTCCACAATTAGTGGATACCTCTAATGACGTCAAACTCGGAAGTAGCCCAATCGGCAGAATAGGTGACCGAGATCCGCCGACATCGGAGACCCCATTGTCCAAATACCCACAGTCCGGGTGCAGGCGCTCTTCCGACTGGCGCCGGCAAATGTCAAGGTGTTCGATATATTCCCGTTGTCTAGCCTGCAGATGCATATGCTCATTAAAACCGATCGGAGCATTCCGAAATCGGTTAATCGGCAGCAATCGGGGCGAGTTGAAAATGCGGACAGACCGGCCAGAGTACCGGTTTATCCCGACCCCGGGCACCGTTTCTCCATGCGATCCGAGTGGACAGTGTCTGGGCACCGAAGGCGATCCGTTATTAACTCAGACACCGTGAGTAGATAAGTGCAAAAGCCAAAAGGTCCGGTCTACCAACCAGATATCCAAACATGCAGCATCATTAATCATTTGTATGTAATATTTCATTGCCTCTTTCGACCTTCCTTTCAACCTTTTAGTTTTCTGAAGTTCATAGTTCACTAACATAGGTCTTGCCTTATGGTTACAAAGTAGGCTACCAAATGTGCATTTACGAAAGGCTCGGCATTGAGCAACCAGCAGTTCCACAGTCCACTTAACCCTCGCCGGCACAGGCATTTTGAGTCCTTCGAAGGCACAAGGAGGGGGGGAGGGGTTGGTACGACCCCCCTCGCGTTTGGCTCCTGATGGAGCAAGAGCTTCGCGAAAAAAAAAACGAGCGTGTTGCCCGTCACGACAGGAAGCCAATGATACCCAATTTTAAGGTCCTAGGTCATCGGGTGACCTTCCAGGTCAGGTTAATGACCCAAAAATCGGGAATGTCGGCACCTGTTAGAAAGTCGTTAAGTGTGGCTACTAAAGGGTTTTCCGGGGTGCTGATCACGAATATCGTGCTAGTTTTGATCACAGATGATGTCGTTAAGCGTTTAGACCAGGTCGGGTCAGCTCGGGTCAGGTCAGGTCAGGTCAGGTCAACCGGTAGGGGTCGTGACGGGTATTCGTAGCACCTGTCATCCGCCTCTGACAGCTTCGTAACATGTTACGAAGGCACCAAAACTACTTCGTAAATGTTCAAATGGTTGCTAAATTCGAATTCAGCTCCAAAAACTAGCCTAGAAACATGTAAAACTCAGAAAAGTGAAACGAGGTCACCAAAGGTCAATGACCTGACCTGACCTTCAGGTGACCTTGACACCCACCCTTATGAATGGGAGCAGCATCAAATCACATGTTTGAACTATTGAAACCACGAAAAGCTTGCAAACGCGCGGCTAATGCGAGCCGGCATACGCCGAACCGCGATTTCGGCCAAACATGGTCACAGAAAAGAGGTCACAGGTCAAAGGTCATTGGGGTCAGGGTCATGAAATTTTCAGGGTAGATGTAAAATTGATCAATGCGAGGGTACTAAAAGTTTCGTCGCGATCGGCCGCTTTTTACGTGAGTTATCCGCGAAAAACCTTAGGGGGTTACATCAACCTCCCCCCCCCTGTGTCGGCGAGGGTTAAGATAAATCCTAGTTTGTCCTCTGACACGGCAGGGGCCCATCGCCACGTCAAGGATGCACCTCGCATAATTATTCGATTTATGAATTAACATGCAAGCCCAAGTCAAGGGCGTTTACTTGCAAAACCGAACAAGGAAGTGGCAACTGGCAGTACCCAAAGCAAGCAAGTGAAAAGTGGAAATCGTATTGTGATGCATGCTCCTTTCACAAGCGCACACACTAGCGTATGACAGCATAGTATTGACGAATTTCATCGATGTAAGCGGCGAGTAACAGAATAAGCTTAACTATTGAACAATTTAATAGCTTAGAAACGGAATCAATAGCTTAGATACCCGCGTCTCACATATCAACCCTCGCACTTACAGGTTGTCCCATAAGTAAACACCTTATATTTTTTACATTGTTGCCCATTTCTACCGCTTTGAGAACAGCGAGAAACACGATGCCGTTATTGCCATTAGCCTTAGTATGCCTCGTGTCACAGGCAACCCTTTTCACCATCGCAGGCCATTTCGGAGGCGACCATGCAGGGTCATCGACCCTTCGTCCATTTTCAATCGCAAGCAAGGTGCCGAGAAAGGCCATAACAGGAAAAGCACGGGGTATTGAGGTCGACTGAGAGAGATTGCTTGGGAAGAGACAGAGATTGGTTGCAAGAAGTTTGATGTACTCCGAGCCACAGTTAATTTTTGGTGGAAACGGACAACTAGTCTTGTAAAGCAAACGACGGTCAGGCCGGTCATCTGCAGTGGCACATGTTGTGAAAATGGCTACCTCGGAGGCTAAGCGTTGACAAATTGAGCAAAAATTTAAAATACGGTAATACGGAAGGGATAACTAGTCTCAAAGTTATCAATACACAGACTTCCGTGACACATACAGACTTGGGAATAGAGTAGATGCTTTATCGACCAAAACAAACGGAAAAGCTGCGGGTTTCAAAGAATGCACGTTCTGCAAAATAGTGAATAGTGGAGTTCATATGCATTTGAATAAGTTACTGGAGTGATGAATCAACATGCAAGTCAGCATTTAGCTCACTCAAAAATCTATCGTAATCGGGCTGAATTGCATAATTAAGTGATCTTCGTCCAGACAGTGAGGAACTGACTGACACGCTAGCCTTTTCGTGAAACAGTCATTGTCGGGACAGTAAAAAAAGAACAAACAGAAATTTCAGGTCATATATTACAAAACTGGGAAACGGTTGAAATTCAACAATGCTTGGACCGAAGATCCTCAGACACCGAAAGGGGGACAATGTTTGTATCACAGACCCTACGGCATCCCAGACTGCCATCGACCCCACGAACACACAGACTCACGTGCGCAAGGCATGAACCACTTCCACTCTAGTACCGATGCACACACATTACATAAACGGTCCCACCGTCTTTCGGGCACAATCTCTCACATCACGCCAGCCGCAACGACACACACATCACACATTCCAGCCGTTCACTTTACACATCTGAAACACTGTGTGAGGCCTTCCTCGTCAAAATGTTCACGAGTTTCAGCATCAAGTCTGAATGTTCACGATGAGTCTCAGCCCATTCCCACCTGCAGCGAAATCCCAGAGCACCCCAGAACAGAATCTTACTTCCAAAACCGTCCGGCGTCGCACCTGTAATCTTGTTTTTCTATGTGTATCTCAGGAGGCTGGCGAGATGCCCCAGTGTGAAACTCAGCCTAGCGGGATACGCTGGATTGCGTCATGGAAAGCCAGCGCGGTCACTGTTCACCGAATTGAGCGGAGAGCAGCGCTGTTTGTTAGACTAACGGAAGGCGCCGGGTGACGAAAGTGACGCGCGTGATGCCGTGTGACGCCGTTTGCCCTCAGTGACGTAACGTGATGAGATCATTGCACTGTGCCGCCGGGACACTGTCTTCGGGTCAGCCTTCAGACATCCAGCCCCGTCAAACTTCAGCCATCCTCTCCACTCAGCGCACCACAGCAGTATAACAGCACCCGGCAGACGCACTAACGACCCCGAGACGACCTGGGTGATATCACCACAGCTGGCACCGGCAGTCTCGGAGGCCAGGAGGGCCACGACCTCTGACCACAGAGTGACAGTCCTATCCGGCACACAGTTCAGTAGCCCGCCACGTCATCCTCCTGACAGTCCTGGCTGACTCAGGCCTCGTCGGGCCGGTGAAACATGCTTCACTACTGCGATACATCCTCCTAAATTGACCCGTGCCGGACCTCGAGAATGCCGAGAGGAGCGGCCGATGGCAGGCAGGACTTCCGCAAGGTGACGTGATGTCGGTGCTGAGTTATGACGTCACTGACAGGTGATGACGTCACATGTGAACAATGACGTCACCGGTGAATAATGACGTCGCCGGTGAATGATGCCGTCACTGGTGAATTCTGATTTCACTACTGGCTGGTTGATAACGTTCTTGGTGGGTGAAATGTGACGTCATGAGTTGGTGGGCGGATGCACCACTTCTACCCAATGAATGAATGGTACCGCTTCTACACTGATGAATTTCAGCATGACTGAAGTACGGTGTGTGATGAGTGACGTCACGGGTGTCTGGTGACGTCACGGTTACCTGCTAACGTCACTGGATGACCCACTCGACGTTGAGTCCGGCCGGGCCGATGTGGATTCGGTCCAGCATGCCGCCGTGGCTGCGACGGACCGTGTACAGGAACAGCAGTAGGGTGTGGAACAGATTGTTACGGCCCTGGAACACAGCGGTACACAGAGGTCACGGACAGGTCACGGTGTTACTGAGGTCACATACGACGGTCATCGTGTGATGGAGGTCGTAAGGGTCACACAAGACTAAAACGTGGGGAAAGAAGAAGGTTTGGCGTAAAAAAAAACGCTGATACTCTAAACATAGGGTCAATAAGGGCTTACAAGGAGCCATTGGACAAAATCACCCGATTCCAATTAGTTAGCCAGGATCAGACTTGGGTCAACTTAACAAAGTCACAAAGGTCAAAAAACCCACCATTCTACCGAGGTGACACACACGTAGGTCACCATCGCCACCCGCCTAGCGACCGCAGAGGTTTAGGGGCCGGGCCGCGGTGACCGCAGCGACCGCTCGGCGCAGCCTCGCTAAGCCCAGGATTACCGCACTACTAAGTGTGTGGACGGGGCAGACGTCGAACGGCAGACATTCTTCGGGAGTTTAGGCTGATCGAACACTTATTGCTGACGACAATTTCAGCCGAATGAGCTCGGCCCGAGCGGCGGCGCACCCATCGGTTGCAATATTACTGCTATCCAACTTCTGACTGATAGCTTAGCAGCTGAACGATCATAAAACGGTTAGTTGTAATCTTTTTACTTAACTGCTGTTACGACGCTTGTACTAAAATACTAGATCTTGTAGCCTAACAGCATACAGTTTTCCATGGAGCGAGTTCGGAAGGCAATTTTCCGGTCGCACCCTCGCTCGTCAACTGATCCCCCACGATCCGCTCCCGACACCCTCCCACCCTCCACCTTCCATCAAACCCCACCCCCGCCCCTCCCCCAGTCCTCATCCATGAGTCACCCCCACCCTCCACACCTTGACCCCTGACCTGCCAGCCCCACCCCTCACAACGGCCGAACACCAACCGCCCATAACTCCCCATTTCCACACTCGTAACCGCCGCGCCAGACGGGTCGATTCTGGGTAGGACAACAGCAATTACCATGTTGGTTTTTGAATGCTGAATAATTGATACAAATGTTCGTAAATTAGTGGGAGAGATAACAGCTTCGCTGGGTTTATTAGCAACTACCAAGTTTCCCGGGAACAAATGATTCGATCTTTGTTTACAATTCTTGGTATTTACAGGATTAATTTTGTTTCTTTGATCAAGATCAGTTTTCTTCTGTATGTCTGCCCAAGTGCCAGTTTATTTGGGATACGGTAATATTTGAATCCCAATATGTGAAAATTGCCTGACTATTTTAGTTTTCATTGTTCCAAACTTCATATCATTCTGTCGGTATGCATTTACGCCATTCGCATCTCCCTACCCCTCCCTCCTCTCCCCGACCCACCTTGGCGAGCTCGACGATCTCGGTTCCGTCGATGAGACAGAAGCGCGGCGGTATGATCTCGGCCTGGTGGATGACCAGTCGGCCGGGACCCGTTACCGGCTTGTCGGGCGCGCTGCTCAGGTGCTCGCTGCTGAACGTCCGGCCGTCCGGGTGGGAGGGGTGCGGCGGCAGCCGGCCGTCCAGGTAAGCGGCCACCATATGCATCACAATCTGCCGATACACACCGGGGGCCGGGGTAAATCCGGCGAGGAATGGGACTTTGAATCGTATAGTCCTACGAAGAATGTAGCGCTGGATTGTAAACTGGGGGGTTCATGCAATTCATGGAAATTCATTTTGATTAATGAGCCAGAAATGTTAATTAGGAGCATGTCAATGAATGACACATGTTCGCAACAAAATACAGAATACGCATTAAATAAACGTCTGCTATTCTATTTTCAATGAAATTGCGACGGTAAAATTGAAACTAAACTTAAATATGCCACCATTTACAGGATAAGTTATGGTATCCATAGACCAGCCCCGCAATCAGCATACGGAATTGAACGATTCCATACACGCTCCACCCACACAATACCCACGAACGAAGCTCATCTCTAGCCCGCCCACCGGCGTCCTCTATAATCCGGGCGCCCCTCAGAGTACGTCCCCGTCACTTACGGCTGAGTCGGTGGGCAGGTGTTCGTCCCAGTCCTTCCCTCTGAACGTACCACCGCCGTTCCACCGGAATTCCTGCATACAGCCGCCACGGCTCAGCTCTGAAACACGGGAGGGGAAGCGGGGCTGATGTCGGAGTTTTAGGAGAGCAGAGATACAGCTCCGTCTAATGCACCCAATGACTGGGTCAGTGGGGCTAGGAGAGACATAACGTGGCGTTGCGTGCCCTCATAGGGACCCAGGCTACAACAGGATTCAGTATTCAGCTTAGCTGGCCGCTCAGAGACATAAACGCCTTATAAAGCACGCAACGCGGTATGCGGGAAGTCCGGCGACACTCAGACAGATTTAAATGAGAACGGTCAGTGTCCCGATGAACTAGAAGCAACTAGCGACAGAACAAAGTTGAACTCTAAATAGCGCAAACGCGATCCTATGTCGCGCGGTAATGACTAAAGCCGCACTTTGGTTTAAATGGAATGCCATTAAATCATAGCGTACCCAGTAGTATCCGTTTATGTAATTGACATCAACGAAAAACCTCAGCGTAGTCCCCATAAACGCGCAAACAATTTTCATCCGATTCCCATTGCACAACAGGATACAGCAAACTAGAATACCGCACACAGCCACTAACGTGTACCTATAATCCTGAGACCAAGTACTGATACGGTACCAGTAACTCATATCTGATCCTGTAAATCAGGCACTGAGTACATTTACCTCTGACCCTGCAGATCTTATAGGTACTCGTGGTACCCGGTCCCTTGCCACTGATCCTGTAGACCAGATACTCTTGGTACCCGGTCCCTTACCTCTGAATATCCTGTAGACCAGGTACTCCTGGTACATACACGGCCCCTTACCTCTGATCCTGTAGACCAGGTACCGGATCCTGAGAACAACTACCTCTGACACTGTACAGTGTACACTGTACGGTAACCGGCCCTTACCTCTGATCCTGTAGACCAGATACTCCTGCACACGGTCCATTACCTCTGATCCTGTAGACCAGGTACTCCAGGTACCCGGTCCCTTACCTCTGATCCTGTAGACCAGGTACTCCAGGTACCCAGTCCCTTACCTCTGATCCTGCATGACACCAGGTACTCCTGTATGTGCCCGGTCCCTTACCTCTGATCCTGTACACCAGGTACTCCTGGTACGCGGCCCCTTACCTCTGATCCTGTACACCAGGTACTCCTAGTGCCCGGTCTCTTACCTCTGATCCTGTACACCAGGTACTCCTGTACCCGGCCCCTTACCTCTGATCCTGTACACCAGGTACCTACTCCTGGTACCCGGCCCCTTACCTCTGATCCTGTAGACCAGGTACTCCTGATGGGTGGACACAGACAGAAAGTGCAGCACGGCGTTCAGCGACGGCACATCCTGCACCATCTGAGCCGTCTTCCTCAGCTTGTCCAGACCGACCTCGCCTGTGAAAGACAACACAGCTATACCAAAATATTACGACACGCTAGTCTAGTAAACACCTGGCTTATACCTGTGACCGACAGCCCACCATTTGCGCTTCTAATGAGGCCACAACTTGCTCCTGTTTAATTAAAGGCCTGTTTACTAAATACATGGATTACCTACTACCCACTTCATCCATACTATTTCATGGCACTACTTCATCCATGCTAAATACTGGCGCTGCATCGCTGCAGAATCGATTGTTGTGGAATGTGGTTTGACAAAGCAACAGTCCCGCCCCAGTTAGTGCTTGCTATGCACGGTGGATGTTTGTGTGAAAACGTCAGTATCTATCTCTTATTTGCATTGCCGTAATTGACTTGAAAAGCGCGCTGCCGTAGAAATGTAACTATCAATACTGTGGAATTCTGGAAGCTCAGCCAAGTGGATTCGAGTATTTGCTCACCAGATACACTTCAACATCCCAGTTACATGCTTGTCTGTGTTTACATCGTTCAGTCTCTGTACCAACACTAACAACCACGCCAAACAAGGTTTGTGAAGCCGTCTGTGACATCGTTTCGTTAGATAATCACCAGCAAACACGGCTACTGCCGCTAACAACGCGTCTCCATGGGCACAGACATAAACAGCACGCTTCAACGGTACTGGGAGCACCGTTAAAGGCAACAACTGATCGGGTGTAGCAAAAAAGGACAGCTTATAGGTTGACTCATGATACAGCAATGTCGGGAATTGCTCAAGACACCTGCAGTTTCTCATTCGACAAGTATGCTGAAAAATGCTAGCTTCAAGGAGAGGACAAACCACGTAAAAATATCAACCGAAGATGGGCACCAGACGATACTTTAGGGGGAAAGGTAAGCAACACTAACGTCGGCTTCGGAGGTGTGGTAAATAATACTCAAAGGGTGTTCGACGTAGGCAAGGAGACTGACGAGGAACATATCCAACCGCGGGCTTTCCCATAGCAAACTCCACTCGGAATCCTGTCTTTAAAGAGTTAGAACTCGGAATCAGGATTAGAAAAAATGGCATGGTACATCTGAGCGTTAAACACAATGGGCGCAACAATGTCCCCCCCCCCATCCCCCCTACCCAGGCCTGAACTTAGCCACGTTATGGATCTGTCTCCGACAGCCCGCGCCGCCCCGCAGGGAAAAGTGGGGTACGTGGTACTCACCCAGAGAGTCTGTACCACCCCTAGGGGAGGGGATACTCGGTACTTACCGATCTGCACCTCCGAGAGTCCGTGCCGCCGCAGCGCCGCGTTCACAGAGTCAATCTCCTTCACCAGCCGCACGAAGATCGTCTGACACAGCCACTGAAACAGGTGAAAATAGTACATAAATACTAGCGAACATTTACGGTATGTGCACCGAAACTAGAAAAATATACGCATGCATCCACATGTCGAATTGAAAAGTGGAAAACGTAGACATGAGGTTCCCGTCTTACTCGCAGAAAGATCAGACGACTGCATAACAGACCGAAAAAAAACTGCATACTCTCAGTGAACTACCGACCGCGGCTGCAGGGCTGATAATTCCTCAGCGTCGCACAAAGCAAACTTCAAACACCTCACACTACGGAATATGCACAGACTCCTTTTTACCGCACGGCCACTCGTGTAACATGCCAACGGACGATACCACCGACGCCATCTACTAGGCCGTTTGTGATGTATCACATCCAGTGTCGACAGGGATCAGCACGGTCCAGCCAATTTAATATTAACCACCTCAAACCAATTCACCACGATTGCTGATGAATGCCGTTCACTGTTCACTTCATCCCTCGTATTTCCCCTTCGACTCTCCATTTCACCAAACTGCATACGATGCCGCACAGTGGAGTACTCACGATTCTGATGTTCTCCGTCCACCTGAACAGCGTGTCATTGCTGACATCCAGTTTGAGCCAGACGGGGTCGAACCCGGAGCTCAGCGTGTTGTCCTTCTCCTTGTCACCGCCCGGGCCGTCCTCGGTCTCAGACGGACTGCGGATCGACAGCTGACGGGGGTGGAGGGGTTACAATGTCAGTACAGGACAGAGGCAGGTTACTCCGCCAGCACAGGACAGAGGCAGGAAGTCATAGTGGTAGCAAAGGTCAGCTGCTTTGCGTCATGACAAGACCAGCCGTCAACCGTAGCAAGAAGTCAATGGCAGTGAAAATATATGTGCTGTGTTAATTGAGATGTTGGTAAACGGACACTGCGAAACATATCTTTCTTTGCCTGTGCAGTGTGCTATCACCCGTCACTGACATGTTCAGCAGGACATTATGGTACCAGAACTCGTATATCCCACCTGATAGACGTGTTTCTGCGGCGAGTTGGTAAAGAAATCCGCCAACGAGAAGCGACTCTGGTTCCAGAAACTGGCACTCTGGTTGACTGATGCATCCGCAGACGCGTTCACTGTGGATTAAATCGTAAAATGTTAGCGACAGAGCATTATTGGAAACTAGCAAAACAAACAAATAATGCACAGCATCTCATTCACCATATGAACTGCACTCCCGAAAACTGAAACCTCCATGCTCCCTGTCCTAATTCTCCTCCGGAGTACTCACGGGCACTGTACTTGCGCTCCCTGTCCTCGTACTGGCTCATGTACTCGTGGAAACTGTCCATGTCTGTGATCTCCACATTTGGGCGGTTGACCGGAGTGCTGACCCGCGGCAGCCCCGACAGCGCGGGGCTCGAGGTGGCCCCCAGGGGACTCATGGGGGGCACCAGACCGCCCTGGGGGCGGGAACAGAATAAACAGAGGTCAGTGTAATTGACACACGATCATGATTGACCAGAGTCCTTTTTATAGACACTAATGTTTGAGATGAAATCGTTGCCTAGCCTTGAAACCGGACAAATATGTCTACAACCACTCACGGCACCAGCGAGTCTCGTTCCTCCATTTATCACACTGCTCTCTAACCTCCTCGCACTCTTCCCTCCACATCCTCTCACTCTCATCCTCTCTCCTCCCTCTCCCCCTGACCCTCCTCCCTCTTCCGCTGACTCTCTTCCCTCTCTCCCCTCTCTCTCTCCTCTTTCCCGCTCACCTGGCCGTAGGGCGAGCCGCGCTGCCCCCAGTGCCGGCTTGCCGACCGGTCCGGAGTGAACGCGTGGCTCACGGAGCCGTCCCGGTAGTCCCACGAGGAGGCAGAGGTGGAGAGCGCGTGGCTGCGGCCGGCGGACGCGTCGCTCAGCCAGCTGAGCGCAGAGAGGTTCATAGGCGTGGCCGCGGCGCCGCCGCCACCGCCCGAGCGACTGGGGCGAGGGGTCGAGCCGATAGCGGGGTCTGAGGGAGTGGGAAAAGGTGTGTCAGTGTACGCATATCAGTGTGGGTCACCAGCCCCACCCCACGGCAATAGACACCCGTACAAAACCGATTGACATGTAAAAACTGATAGCTAGGTCCGGAAAGGGTTAAATCTCGCGCAGAATTACAGTCAATTAATTCACAATCACCCACATCAAGACTGAGCAGTGACCGCCCACCTACCATTCTGAGCGACAGTCAGCAGCCGCCGCTGGCCGTCCGTGAGGTTTAGCACGCTGTGTCCCAGCGCTGGGTACAGGTACCGGGTGAGATGCACGGCCAGATTCAGACAGGTAATCACCAGCACTGCCAGCTCGAGTTTACGAACCAGCGGCGGCGTGACGCCGAACAGGTCCGACACCAGCACGGAGCCGTAGTACCTGGTGCAGGGGAGGGAGGTCAGCGGGGAGTCAGGGGTGTGGAGAGTCACTCCAACTCACAGTTACACAGCTGGCGGGTGGGGAGTGTGACTTTGATCAACAGTACCCTGCAGTACACACTACACCAGGGCAGAGTGTAATGAGCATGAAGACTTGGTTGTATTGGTAGGCTGATAATATGAAAATGGAGTCTGACAATCACAAAACAGAATGAGACATCCAGGATCAGGGTATGGTTCAACTTCAAACCCCTGTTTTATCTATAGTTAACGTTGACCAGTATTTGCATTTACAATTTATTGTAATCTGCTCAGGCTGCCTCATCATTGCCTGTACAGTGAGCAACTGATCAGTATCAGCATTGAACAGCATTTCCAAAGATAAATTTATAAATGAGAATAGCATAATTTCAATGAAAGATAGATACAGACTAAACAATAACACAGGTATGTGAATGAACTTACATTTCCAGAGCAACAAAGATGGCCAGGAATAGGTTCACCATGATCCAGAAGGCCGACTGTCTGGACAAGCTGCCCAGGTTCTTCCGCATTAGAGCCTCAGACACAAACGGATTCAGAACCGCCATTGCAGCTGCTCTATTCTGAGGAAAACAGAACAGTAAATCAATATCAGCAGTCAGCAATGACATCAGTAGTGAGATCAGCAATTAGTTTCAACACTACAACTCAAGCCATAATGTACAGTCTGTTGTTTGAATTACCCTTCACCTTCAGTCATTGTATCTTGTAGGTATACATTGGGGCAGTCATAACATTATTAAGGGTCTAAATGTAATATGATAAATGATGAAGCTAATGCTATTCTTTTAAAACTAGATCAGCAACTGCTGCACAAAAGGCCAGGATCAGGATTCATAAATTGAAATGATACACATGGCATGATCCTAAATGGTGCATACTGCATCTAGTCACCGTAAGGCAGGTTGCAAGAGCAGGCACACCGGTGGGCGGAATTTAAAAAAGGGTGCCTGGGGCGATTTGATCGCGCCACGTGCGAACCATCCACCCCCCCCCCCCCCGGACTCGAAACACGCCACTGCACGTGCGCGTGACGTCATCAACACGCTGCGAAAATATACTACCGTGTTTATTACGAGCGAGCGAGCGCAGCGAGAGAAGCGATTAGCGAAATCTTTTCAATATAACGGAAAAATCTCAGTATGAGCGGCCCGGCCCGGCCCGGCCAGTAACGCTTTTGGGAGGCTTATATCTCAGCAACCGCTGGACCGATTGGCCTGCAGTCTTTTTTGCTGGGTAGCCTTATCCCTTCTACCCCGTAATTAACTACTTTTGACACATCTCAGTGACCGTCGTGGCACGTGCCACGTGAAAAGTCAAGGGTGTTCAGGTTATTTTGCAAAAGTAGTGATTTTGAGAGGCTCATATCTCAGCAGCCGCTTGGGTGATTGTCTTGCGGTAATTTTTGTAGGGTAGCTGCATCCCTTCTACCAAAGCTCGGATACTCTTGATCTATGTGAGTGACCCCCACTGCACGTGCAAAATACAAAAAGAAGAGGCGCCATATTTGTTCCCATTTCAATAACTTGGTAATTACTAATTACTGGGGCAACTTCCCTGAAACTTGGCATACAGGTAGGCACCCACCAGGCAATGCATTCCCATGTGATGCGGTTAGGGCGCTACTGCACGTGCGCACGTGCAGGGGGCGCTTCCAGATCTCGAGAACGGCTGGGCCGATTTCGCTCAAATTTGGTACACCGTTGGGGACCGGCTGATAGGGTGCCGTGCAAAAGTCAGTTTGGACCCCGTTTGCACGTGCGCACATGCAGAATGCCGCTTCCAGATCTCAGGAGCGGCTGGGTCGATTGCGTTCAAATTTGGCACACCGCTAGCGACAGGTTAGAAGGGTGCTTTACACAAGCCCTGTTGGAAGTACCCTCTCGCCCTTCCACACGTGCAGGGCTCAGCATCTCGCTCGCTCGTTCTTATCCCAAAAGGCGTTTTACTGGTATCAATAAAAATAGCTATGATACGCCAGCTGATTTTATCCAGTTTGAGTTGTTAGTAAGGCACCATTGGAAGGGAGAGGACTTCTCAACAATCACTTGACTAATATGCCCTCTGGCGCCATTTTCCAATTCTACCCACTGGTGGACCCACTGGTGTGGATAGCCTCAGGGGACAGGGGTTACATTGTTCAGGTTTAGTTGGGGAAACTACGAGGCAAAGATCCACAAAAAATTGCCCGGTCAATAAATATACTTTTGACGACCATATATGGGCATAAATGCAGCCCTCGCTACTACGGGTGATAAACGGTATAATGTGCCGGTACTTGCGGTATCGCGTCCCCTAATCAGAGAGAAAAGGCTTCCAACACCATCCGTTTCAATCCGCCACATTTGCCAATCACTTTTTGACCTTGCATTTCAAGTTGCAACTCTGTGATTCAGAGCCACCAGTGCATCGTGCACTGAGTGAGTGTTGGTGTAGGCCTTCTTGTTCTGTGGTCAAAAACACTCTTATGCCTCATTTTTTCATTTGAATGCTAGGATGCATGGAAAAGATGAAGTTTTCTGATTTCGTGAACATATATGGTCATTGCCCCGCCCACTGCAGCCATTGATTGGTTGCTAAAATTTTAGTTTGGTGCCTCATAGTTTCCCCAACTGGGTTGCCTTCAGTTTGATTTGAAGGTCTTCAGTTTGATCATATTGATATACCTTGATACATGGCTGATTTAAGTGATTAAATGAAAATCATGCAATTTTCATAAAATGTCACATAACTGCCTACCTACCTATTTTTAGACTTCAACTTCCCTTTAAATTGCAGCGACAGAAAAGACTTAAAATACCTAAGCCAACAGTAACCCAAATTTTTGGTTGGTGCTTTACAACCACATCAACGGTAGGTACACTGAAAACTCAATTAAATTGTCAAAATACATGAAAACAGGATCTGAATTCTTCTGAAACCGGAAACTCGACGACGCCAATACACAACCATAGGTACTTTTACTCAGAGTATATAGAACCTTTTACTTTGACTTCATACAAAATTCAACAAAAGATTCAAAAAGTCAGAGAATGTGCGCCAGCTTTGTAAAAACCTCGTATAAAAAGGCTCAGCATTCTGCTACCAAATCGCAAAAAACATTGCGCTTGATAAAGGAAAACCGTAACTAATGTGAAGGAAAGTAGCATTGCATTAGAACACATTCATAATATTCATAACAAAGTTCCGGCAGCAGCAGGTCCTGATTCTCCCGACTTGAATCATTGATCTGACCCGGGAAGGTCAACCAATGACCTAAGATCTTAATCCTCGCCCCGTTGGGGGCGGCAAATTGCCCCCCCCCCTGTGGTTTTTCCTGAATAGCAAGAAAACGGCCAAATTTTCGGTACCTTTCCGGGCATCAATTTGACACCTTCACATCGAATTTCAAGTCTTAGGTCACCTTACGTCAGGAGTTATTGAGGTCAAACTAAGGTCATGTTCGAGCAAAAATGAGCAAAAAACATGCAATCTTGAAACGCTCACCAAATCTACAGTTACCAAGCAATTTAAAAGTTCTTTATATTATCTAGTAAACAAAAAGCGGCGCTACAAAACTGCTATCTCGGATTTTCAAAATTATGGGTTTTTGACCCCCAAAAGTTCAAAAATTGATATTTTTAGAAAAACTAAAAAAGATCCAAAAAGTCCCGAATTTCGATAAAACCGGAATATATGTGATAGTCCCTGTGCTCTTCTATATACATACCAAATTTCAGATCGATATCTCGTTCTTTGGCCAAGTTATAGCGAAAAAAAAACTGTTCAAAAATGATGACGTCAAATTTTTGAACTCAATTTTTAGCGATTCTAGACCACGTAGGGAAAAACAAAGACCACCATTGAATTCCCCGTGACGAGTTGCATTGAATCGATAACCTTTTTATGCAAAATATCAACTTTGAAATTTGACCTAATTTGACCTGACCTTGACCTAACCTTGACCTGACCTTGACCTGAGCTTGACCAAAACGCGACTTAAGCTGGCCCCAAAGGCTACCTGACCCACATAATCGCATTTGTCATGTAAAATGGACCATAAAACATGTGTCACACGACACTTTCGTATTGTGACCCCCAAGTGACCTGACCTCTGTGACCTGACCTGGTATCAGTGACCTCAAATAGCAAAATATGTGTTTGAAGAACATTTCCCCATCGATGATTTTCAATGAAGTGCATTTTACTCGATTTTACAACGCATTTCTTGAAATGCCTGCAGTGGCGGATCCAAGGGGGGGGGGGGTCACATGGGTCATGACCCCCTCCTTGGGGCTCGGGGGCACCACAGGCCCGCCAGGGGCACCACAGGCCTAGCAGGGGCACCACGGACCTGTAGGGGCACCACAGGCCTGTCAGGAGCACCATCGGCCTAGCAAAAGCACGACAGGTCTGCCAGAGCCACCACAGACCTGCCAGGGGCACCAGAGGCCTGCCAGGGGCACCACCGGCCTCGCAGGGGCACCTTGGGCCTGTCAGGGGCACCACGGGCCTGTGGGTGCACTTCAGGCTTGCCAGGGGAACCACAATCCTGTCGGGGCCCAGGGGCAGCAGTGGCCTAGCAGGGGCACCACAGGCCTAGCAAGGGTACCACGGGCCTGTCCGGGGCACCACGGGCCTGGCAGGGGCACCTCAGGCTTGTCAGGGCCCAGGGGCACCACAGTCTTTCCAGGGGCACCACAGGCCTGTCAGGGACACCAGAGGCCTTGCAGGGGCACCACAGGCCTGTCAGGGGCACCACCGGCCTCGCAGGGGCACCTTGAGCCTGTCAGAGGCACCACAAGCCTGCCAGGGGCACCACAGGCCTAGCAAGGGCACCACGGGCCTGTCAGGGGCACCTCAGGCTTGTTAGGGCCCAGGGGCACCACAGTCTTTCCAGAGGCACCACAAGCCTGTCAGGGACACCACAGTCCTTCCAGGGGCACCACAAACCTGTCAGGGGCACCTGCGGCCTAGCAGGGGCACCACAGGCCCGCCAGGGGCAAAACACACAAATAAATAATATAAAAAACAAAAAAAAATGAAAATAGGGCACCACCAAAATGAAGTGGCCGAAATCCGATGAGTTTTTAATTTTGGGTATAGGTGGGGGCACCACTTCGATTCATGACCCTCCCCTTGGAGTTTTCCTGGATCCGCCCCTGAATGCCTGTAAACGGTAAAATTGGACCTTTCCTGACCTGTGCCGTCATCGGTTTGACCTAGGTCAATAAAATTGGGTCACAAGGTAGATCCCTGATAGGGCTATCCAACACCTTTTGCCGCTTGTCGCTAGGCTGCGTGGTTCTCGAGATCTTGGGGGGGGGGCAATTGCCCCCCCCCCCCAACAGGGCGCGTTGCTCGGCAGAGCCCAACGGGGCGCGGGTTAAAGTTAAGAGGTTTTACTTTACAGCCTTTAAATATCTGCATAGGTAAAGCCTACGCACATTCAAATTCAGGCACCTACATCTCCAATTTGAGTCTTCGTCGGGATCAATGCGCTTTGCGTGATATATCTAATTTACTCAGCACGCAGATTACCGGTGATTGCTCGAGTGCTGCCTGATAGCTGCAGCTTCCCTGAACATGTGCGACTGTCTCGGCACAACCGCACGTGCTGTGATCACGGGACATCAGCCATCACCATTCATCACGTCAATCCCGTGATGAATGCGTGACGCAATGCGATCGTTGCAGCGTCGCAATGTCACCGTCACGTCACGAGCGCGGACAGCAGGTGATGGATGTGATCGGTGACATTTGACTTCATACAGGAGATACCCACACGTGGGAAATAAGCAGTGACGAGCACCAAGCAGTGAGCTCTCGTCACATAGCATTGTGTAATGATTCCAAAATTGGTAAGTTTATGAAGCATTGTCATTTATTATTGAAACAATATTGGTCCGTGGCAGTTTAAGAATTTTTTTCCCAGAAGCCTTTTCTGGACATAATTTGCCTGCTTTGCTTATCTAATCGTCTATCGTCTTGGCTAAGAAGAAACAAGAAACTGTCAGTTGGTACTTTCTATGATGCTTGCCGAATGTGCACGTCAGGAATTTATCCGGTTTTTATGACAGGCGTAAGTACGTACAAAGAAAACGTCCATTAATGAATTAAAGGGACCCTCCCACCTTCAAAAAAGTTAATGAATTGGCATGAAAGTGATGTCCCTTGGTTCAGAAAGAGCGCAAACGAATATCTACAAAATTTCACCGAAAAATATTCACTGGTTTTCAAGATATTAGGCTTTTACTTTTGTTTACTTTTTGGGATCTCCCCTGTTACTAGCGACTTTATTTGGAAGCAATAATTTGGCAGCCTTAAAGTGCGGCAGACGTTGCGCGCAAAGCAGCGTATACCACCACGTGTTAACGATGGTTTTAGTCTAAGATTTAAAAATCGTTAGATCCCCGCTGACGTCACAAATTCTAAGGGGACATTCCAATGCATTAGCCGCTTAGAATCCGAAAACTGCAAGTTTGAAATTCCATATCTTCGAATTAAAGCATTTTTCGATGTTGTGAGTGCCCAAACCAGTATTTGCAGGCCATGGCCACCAATTTGGCTATCTCAACTCAAAACTAATGTTAAGGTGGGAGTGTCCCTTTAAGTGTTATTCTTAACCCTCGCCCTGGCAGGGGGGGGGGTCGGTGCGACCCCCCCCCCTAAGGTTTTTCGAAGATAGCGCAAAAACGGCGGCGCGCAGCGCCGCCAAATTTGGCACAGCCTATGGGGCAACCTTGTTACATATAACCTGAAAATTTCAGGTCCGGGTGACCTTGGGTCAGGTCACCAGGTCAGAAAAACCGGTACAAGGTCATGGTCAAATTTCAATTTTCTGTTTGCACCTGTCCAACTCACAGTTTTCGACTGATTTCCTTCAAACTTTCAGGATGTGCTAAGTTCACCGAGTTGTATAATATATAGTCCGTTTTTGTTTTAGGTCACTGACCTGAGGTCAGTTAGAGGTCATTGCGTCGTAATGTTAAGCCTATGGGAAAATACTAAATTCGGAAAATACTGGAGATATCCGCTTCGTTTTATCACTTTTGTGCTTTGAAACCACGGTACTTAACAGCAGGTCACTTGGTGCTTCTTTGTTTGGTGTATTTATCCATGGGTCAGGTCAAATGAGGTCAACTGAGGTCAAATGACGTTTTTGCCAATAACTTGGCACATAATGACGCTAGAGCTTAAAAAATGGTATCATTGTGTTCCTGGTGATGAGCCGAATCAAATGACATGCGATATGATGCAATTTGGTTAAATTGAGCTTAATTTATTAAGTTAAGTTTACTTAAAATTTAAGAAAAACTTTAAGTACACTTAAGCAAGCTAAAAAGTGTATCATTCGACGCGCCTTGACGTGCTGAGTTAACTGGTGCTTTTCTTTTTGCTCTATCTTAATTAGATCAAAAGTTATAAGCGAAAAACGTTTGACCTGTTTTTAGCGAAATTTTTACATTTATACCCCCCCAAAACCCCCCTAAATATTGACCTAGAGCAACCAAATTTGCACAGGGGCGAGAACTCCGGGGGGCCCACCTACCTACCAAATTTGGTGTTTCTAGGTGCCATAGGAGCCAATCGCGAGGGGGGGGGGCGCATCGACCCCCCCCCCCTGCCAGGCCGTGTTATGAAAAATGCCTTGCCAGGGCGAGGGTTAAGTTTCGGCACCAGCATATTCGTGGGTAAAGGTAATTATTTCATTGAACACATGAGAAAACAGGAAAATCAGATCGTCTGTAAATTATCAGGGCAGACTTGGGAAAGACGACCCAGATACCTAAATTATTTTGCTAGATAACTTTTGCCCAGAATGAAGACCGAAACATATTTTATTGCCCGAGGCGATGCCAAGGGCAATGATGTTTGTCGAAGTCTTCGCCTGAGGACGAAACCCTTCGCACCATCATTCAATTTATTACATGGCTCACCGGAACTCGCCTACAAATGCTGCTAATTATGTCGCCGTTAAAATGAATAAATAAATAATGAATATGTAAAATAATGAACGAATTAAATATAAATGTTATGTGATATCAAAATAAAAACTAAA